TGGCACGATATGGTTCATGGGGTCACGAAGAGTCGGACACGACTTAATGACTGAACAACAAATGTAAGAATGAATGAACCTTTACAAAGATGTGATGCACAGAGAGTACATTCTGATTTGGTGTCTCAACAGAGTGACAAGTTAGTGCTTCATGGTATGTAGGCTCATGGTTGGGGAAGAGCTCAAACTATTCTTGAAGTGAAAAGTTGTGTTTATTTTAAACACACCCATACACATTATAAAGGAAAGAAACTGGTTTACTTATGATACCAACTCTTTAAAGGGGGTGGGACAGTATTGTGCCTAGGAGTATCTTGAAATAGTTCTACCCCAGAAGATAGTGCTTGATGGTGCTTCAATAAGAGAGCATCCTTAAATCTGGCTCCTAAGAAACTAGCTTTGCTGAAACTTTCCCTTCCTCTTTGGAAAAGTGAGGATTGTATGTAGGAACTCTAGCTATAGCCTAAACATATTGTTCTTGCTGCCAGTGATGGAGGAGGATCCTGGGTGAGAATCCTATGGGCTCAGAACAACAGGACCACCAGTTTAGAAGTTTGTCAACCCTGCAGCAGTGTATGGTACTACTCCAGTTCTACCAGTTATAACTCCTAGTTCATAAGGCTATGCAAGTTTTGAAAATGATTCAGAAAAGGTGCTTCAGAATGCAGTGGGCCAAAGCAGTGTGACATAAGAAAAGGAGTGGTTATTCTAAGGAAGGAGAACATAGTGGTCTTTGTTCAACTTAATCATGGGTATCTGAAAAAAAAAATGTTCTGAGGGCACGTTGCGCTCAGATTTCTCAGATTTAATTATATTTCATAATGCAGTGTGAATTCCAAGAACTTTAGGAGTAGCCAATCGATGATATATCCTATGGAGTTCTGACACAACTGATATTTATATTGTTGAGGAGAACAGTTGTAGCCCAAGCCAACAGGGGCTGCATATCTAAGCAAATCCAGAACTTGTCTTAAGAGATGAGCTGTCTTATAAATACAGTGGTCCCACATAAGACAAAAAAACAAGACTGAATGCTAAATGTTCAAACACTAGTCAGAACATAGAGTACAATAGCCCGGTGTCCCTGGGGCTGTACTCAGGATTTACCAGTGGGAGGTAAATGACCTGATTCTGGGAAATTAAAAGGACTTCCAGGACAATTCTGGCATTTGAGTTGGCATCCAAGGAAGTTCTAATAGTTTTATAGGACAAACCCCTTTTAATTCAGTCAATGAAGGAAACACATATAATATTAGATTCTGATCTCTCCACAGTCTTTTAGAGTTGTTTTATAATTCTTGCTTGCTTCTAAGTCACTACTATATAGCTTTTCAAGAGCAAAATGGTTTCTTGAACTAAGGTATAAATATGATGCCAATAAATATGACACAAATATGTCCAGAGTTAGTATGTCTGAATTTCTCTGTAATACTAAAGTCCTTTTGAGCACATTTGGTCTAGTGCTTAAAGGCACCAGGCTGGAAACGAGGAGACCATGAGTTCTAGTCCCACCTTAGGTATAAAGCCAGCTGGGTGACCTTGGGCCAGTTATTTTCTCTCAGCCCTAGGAAGAAGGCAAGGGCAAACCACTTCCAAAAATGTTGCCAAGAAGACTGCATAGATTTTTCCCAGTAGTTGTCAGGAGTCAAGACTGACTTGAAAGCACCAAAATAAATAAATAAATTCAAACTTTATATGGATGCCAAATAAAACATAATAGAATTTAAGGGAAGATGTGGTGAGTTCTTCAAAGTTGGCATTAATTTTATTGATATCTTGTTCTATTTGCATCTAGTTTGTGTAGACTCACATACTTGGAATAACTGAGGATGTCACCTTGGACATTTTTTATGTGACATCCATGTCATGTGTGCCATTTAGGAAAAAAATATTTGTTTCTGAAGAAATCAAGATTTCATTCTAACTTTGGTTTTATTTCTAGTTGAAGGAGTCCAAGCGAACAGTCAATAGCCTTCCAGATATTGTAGATGATGACGATGACCTTGAGAAGTTCAGCTGGAGTGGGGAACCTGTGGGCAGTAAGTGTAGTAGTTCTTCATTTGATTTGGGGGAATTCCTTTGAAAGCATAAGTCTATGTACCTGGATTGATGCTGTAGCTGTCAGAATTGCACCCCTAAATGAATATTTGAAGAAGAAAGACCCATGTTTAAAGTTTGAGTGGTGACAAAGTCTAATGGCTTCATTCATTCATTCATTCATTCATTCATTCATTCATTCATTTTTCTTTTCTCTTTCCTCTTTTCTCTTTTCTCTT